GCTTTATAGTCATTTGACCTGCACAATACTGACAGTGAAGACTACCAGTCAGCTACAAATACAGGTTCCAACAGAGACAATCTTCGAACAGTTAGGATAAACTATAGTGATTTGACGGCATTTTGTATCAAAACAATCTCACAGTTTCTGGAAAAGGAGGAAGGACTTGAGACCTGTGTAAGAAGATAGCGTTCCCTGTTCTGTTACACTGTTGTCTTTTCTCAAAGTGAAAGATGATTTTTCCCCAAATAGATCAATGAATGAAAGGATAATACAGAGTGCAGAGGCAAAGGTACTTCTCTGTTCCCAGTAACCATGCCGAGCATGAGACAATAGTTTTCTCTTAGCCCTCATTACAGTCCTCTTCCCTCTGTGTAACTACCAATTTTCTTTGTGTCATCACTAAAAATGATTAATCCTTTCCTGAGGATGCATGATTGCAGATAATTTTAATTAGCAGTCTGGTAGGCATTCCATGAACACACCCTCCTATCATTTTCATCATGTATTAAACGATATTAATTGCAGCAATGTATGCATATGCCAGAGGTCTTCCTCACTATTGCTCTTGTCTCAAAGCTAAAAGGCATTAACCCTTTGTGGGGAACCTCACACCTCCCCAAGTGCATTGAGCTGGCCATTACCAGCTTATGGCTGAGGTCAGTTGATGGAGACTGGCGAAGTAATGTAATGGATGCTAAGATGCCGTTGCTTGCAATAGCAGGGACTTGGACTTCAGGATCTAGAAAATCTTTGCCAATTCTGTGTGTTCAAGAAAAAGTCTCAGTGACTTCACGGAGTTTTCAGGAGTGAAGGTGCTGTAACTAAACCTGCTACATGGAGAGTCCTGCAATAGAAAAGGTTGCACATCCTTTCTTCCACCATGAACAACCTCATTAAGACTCAAGTTTTAATAACCCTGGCAGGTCATACTGGGGAGTGAGGGAAGGAATCACTGAGGACAAGGTGCACCTATTTAACATGGAAATACTAAAACAGTACACTGCTGACTACAGTGGTACTCATTGGTAAGGCTACATCCTTCAAAGAAGGAGCTATCATCTGAAAATTTGCTTTAGTGCTTTACTGGCTCACTGTCATTCAGCCTTTCACCAGACATGTCTGAGCACCACTAAAGAAACAGTATTAAATTGCTTTCTCAGCCAAAATTTGTAATTTCTTACCCTTCTTTCTATGCAATTGAATTTTACATCCCATTCCAAATGAGAAAACTCCATCTTCAATTAAATTTATGTATAAAGTAGCAAAACCCTTCCATCCAGATCTTCGTTCTGTTTATCTCAGGGGAATCAGTGGCAGTGCCTGTGCTGGTTTATGAAAGGAGACAGAAGTGTAAGCCCATATTTTATGATGAAAATGACAGTAGGATTGACCTTGCTCCAGCACATATTGCTTTTTTGACAGTGTCTAGAGCAGATAATCTAACAGCAGTCTGCAAAGCATCATGTTTCCTTAGATCCTGCTACAGTAATTCAATCATGAGCATGTGAAATTAGATGAAAAATAAGGTAACTAGCCTTCTGGGACTGAGTGATTGCAATAAATGTTGCCTCCTGACAGTAAGTATTACATTGTCCTCTTGAAGGAGAGGTTACCTTTTATTATAGCTTACTTCTCTCATTTTGGTCTGTGCCAGGTAGCACTGCTGTTAAGCATAGTCTGCAGTACAGCAAAAAATCCTTTAAGACAATTATATATGCTGCCTCAAAGGTACCAAAGCAGTGAGTAGAAAACTTGCAACTCTTGATCTTTGGGATCAAATGAGCAATGTCAGACCTTTCTTCTGGTTTTTTTTTAGAAAGATATATGTTTTCCCTTTGCACTGCCTTTCATGTAAGTGCCACAGAGTACTTTACGAGCATCAATTGCTTAATCAAATCTTACAAACCTTGCCATCCATTTTAGTGAAGTTAAACTGAGCCACAGTCATGTCTGTGTCTCTAAACTCAGCGAAGTTTGCAACTGAAGGTCACAAAGCAAGTTAATAAACGGGATAGAGTGAAACTGAGGTATGGTGGAGGTTAGTCTCAAAGTGTCAGTACGCAAATTGTTTTCAAGCCATAAATATTTGCCCATGCATTTGTCCTGTGGACAGCTGAGAAAATACAAATTGTAAAATTATTATAGGCTTGATCAAAGTAAAATAATTTATGTTTAGCTACCATCAAAGATACGTGTGGGTCTGACATAAAGTCATACACCGGTTACTACGACAAATGCACACTTTTGTGGGCAGTCACAGAGTACACAGCAAGACTGAGCTCTGCATGATTTTATACAAAGTAGATGGAGAAGAAAGCACTGAACAGCAATGGGTACTGTCTGCCACTGCCTGGTCATTAACATCGACTCCAGCTGTGATTTTCTGGGGGAAGCAGAGGTGGGAACTCCTGACAGAAGCCCTTGGGCAGCAGAGATTGTAAGACTAACACTCCTCCAAGCTGGTGGGCTGCTGCTGCTCCACTGGCTTGATCACCTGTGGGATAAGCAGGGCTCCTTGATATAGTCTCAGTCAAGTAGCTTTTCCACCTAGATGTTATATATGTATATGAATAAATAGGATTTCCTGCTAATCAAAACCATACTAGAGTATGCCTGCTTATGAGCAACAAAATCACATCCTGAGAAAGTGAGGCAAGGCCAAGCTCTAGCTAAGCAGCCTGAGGAGCTGCAGAAAAGGAAGTCTCCCATTAGCGGGTCCAAGTGGTTCTCCACCAAACCACAACAGCTCAACATACAAATAGTTGTATGACCAAAGTCTGATGGGATGATTAATTTTATCCACAAGTCTGCATTTCAGCAAGAACTGGTGTTTCCAGTGACCTGACCCACATCAGCTATAACAGGAACCAAAAGGAGCTGGCTCTGCTGTAAATGTGCCCATAGCAGATATCTGAAGTTAGATGGATCCTACACGAAAAGTGCTAAAAAGAAATGTTGTTCCTGTAAACTGCTTGAAAGCAAAGAAGTTGAAAGACCTCTCACTTTCAGTTATGTAAATAAGGAATAAGGGCACCAAATGTAATCAACTGATATTTTTATAAAGTCATTGGAAATGGAAATCCTACCAAGATCTCTGTATTTCTCATGTATACATATTCTGCAGAGGTATCTGAATGGCGACATTGACATTAGCTCTGTAGTTCAAGTTGTGCTGCATTTGTGCTACACTGAGATTACAGTTTGAGAATTTAGTCCTGTACAATGAAAATTCAGACAAATATATATTTGGCAGATGTAAACAGATCTAACTAATGACCTTATAATGGAGGTATTGTTTACAGCAGCTGAGAATCTGGCCCACAGTTTGTTATGCAAAATCATTGTCTTGTGTACTTTGATGAATGTACACACTAATAAAACCCATTAATCTCTTTGGGTATCACTGCAGGTTTTTGTGAATGAGATATAATATAGTCCATATATATCACCTCATAACTGTTGATAAGAACCTTTAGAAACCTTAATCTTGTTCACAAATGCTTCCAATTATGGTAAAACAATTATCTGGGTGCAAAGAAAATGGACACTGTCTCTAGTAGCTACTGACTGCTTTTCTTGAAATCAAAACAAGAAGAAAAATAGACGGTGTTTTTCTTTCAAAGAGACAAACTTCATAAACATAATACCATTTACTATGGAACTGAATGTTTATTGGGAAAAGACACTTCTCTGCATATGTCTGCCTTAACTACAGATTCAGAGATTTACAGGTAGTCCATTAAGTTAATTAGTCCATTACACTGTTAATGCTACTTCTCTGCACTATACTGCAGATATTTTTTAGAATACCTTTAAATGCCTCCAAAATACAGGCTATTTTTCCTTCTTGTAGTAGAACATGTTTTTACAATAGTCCATATCCAGATGTTTTCCTTGGTATTATGTTAACCATTCTAGTTCTCTATGTATCTTCACTATCCTTGCTATTTCTCATTTTGCCATCTCTAATACTTCTTCTTTATCCTTGGTGTTCACCACAAAGAGTTACTGGCACCTACAAATACTCGTCAGTCAGAGAAGGGGCAGTCCATCCATTGCCAAACCTTGCTGATGTACAGCAGACAGACCACTTAGCTGCTCTGTAGCAGCATAGTCTTTTCTTTATGTTACTCATGTTTGTTTTCCCCTGAGCTGTTGAAAACAAGGCATTTCTTGTTGGCTTGCTGCTTTGCAATACTTGTTTTAGAGGGCATGTGGCCATTTGAGCAGTTTCAATCACAGCAGCAGATGACTGGTATGCATGCATTGCGTGTGCAATTTAGGATAATTAAGGAGAATTAAATTATATAGGATTAAATGAGATAGAGTTCTGCATTTACTCCTAAAGAGCTGAATAAATCTGACTTTAATCACTTTTCTCCTGAAATGTCCTCTATCCTGAGCCTTTTGGGTACTCTAAGGCATTTTCAACACAGGAAATCTCTGTCGGACCTGTAGATTGCTCCAAGTTAAGGCAAATTTATGATGAACAAGCAGTGAAACAATAGATATTCTGTACTCACATTGTCCATTAGGCAGCTTTCTGCAAACCGTCTTGGTAAACTGTCTTTTCATTGTAACTTACTTACTTTGAATCCCCCTGTTTGCAGTACTGGTACAAGTTGGTGCACTAGGAACTCAGTCCCAGTCACCCACAGTTAATCCCATCTCTCACAAATGTCCTGACGTTTTATGCCTTCAAGCTTTTCCTGTTCATTTAACTTCAGAATGCTTGGAGTGGCTAAAGGAATGTACCTCTGTCTTCAGTAGTCACATATGCACTGAAAAAGGTTGCACACATCTGCTTTCTAGTTAAAAATAAAAATACTCAAAAGAAAAAAAATGTTGAGAGTAAAGCTTTAAAAGCAAAGGGACCCAGGTATTTACGGCCTGTCTTCCGAAGCTGTCCGCAGGTACGCAGGAGATCTAAAAACACCAACGCTGGCTCTAAGCCCTATCCTTAGGCATAACAACTGCAATAACAAAACACAACATACCTTCACATGTCAGTAGGAAGTATTCCAGATTGTGACTGAAAGATGCACTGAAATAAGTACAGTTTTCAATCAGATCACAAGACAGACACCGCCTGTTGAAGTTTCCATTTGTGCTTGCGCTGAAAAAGTTAATAGAAGTGCATGAAGGTCACTGAGCAAATGTTATCTGGAAGAAACATTACTTGAACCTTACTGTACTGTAGAACAAGAACATAAATATAATGTGTCCAACATTAGTAAGAGACAAAGCATTTCCATTTGGTTGAGTTTAAATAGCAGAAACTGCTTTTTTTTTTTCCCCTGAATGGAGAATAGATAAAAGGATACTGATGTCTTTTTTTGCAAGGTCAGGTGGTTATGAAGGAAGGTACAGTTTTTAAAAGAAAATGATGGTTGCAATTCCACAAGAGGAAGTCATAATTCGGTGAACGAAGGCATGAAACAATGGAGCAGTGTTTCTACACCTACTTCTATTGTAACAGACTATAAAGAGCTGGAGCTGCTTGCTATAAGTTTCTTGCTGTTTGACTCACTGGTCTGATTTGCTAGCAGCTGCCTCACAGGCCAAAGCCCTTTTTGAGGGTTTCAGTAGTTGCTCTTATATGCTGCAAGTAGAAAGGAAAGATTGCATTTAGGGATCTGTTTTTGAAGAAGGTAACATGGCCTGTCCATATGCTCAGAAGTGCTTTGTAAGAATCTACTGTAAGTTGAAGAATGAGTTACAGATTATTAGCAAATACAATAAATAAAATTCTACACTGCTATAGCATTTTGAAACTTCAAAATGCTTCAAGAATATTAACTAATAATATTACTCTAAAGCAAATGAGTGTTTTTTGCTACTATTTCAAGGTAGAAAGAGATGAGGCTGAGCAACCTGTTTAGGGTCACAGAAACTGAACTGAGTAGCTCTTGGGTTCTTGTTTAGGCTCAGATCATGTCTTTGACTTAAATCCTATTTAAAGCTACTAAATTAGACACAAAAAGGGAAAAAAACCCCCAAACAGATCTTCATCACATATCAACTGCAGTGGAGCTCTGTCAACGAACATACACCAAGGTTGCTGCTGAGCTGATGCCCTTGGACTGGGACGAGAGACGGTCAAACCACCCAGCACAGGAAATCAAACACCTGAAGTGAGGCCAAGATCACTGCATAATCAAAGTAAGGTCAAGGACACTGACATTTTTGGCATCTCTTTACTTGTTGCCTGTGTGGGGAGGTGAGGTTAGTGAGGCACCAGGGTGAGCTGCATGTCAAGACGAGCAAGTGGTGGAAAGCACTTTGACTCATGCCAGCAGCTCTTGAGCAGCTGTGCCTGGACTCAGCTTTCAAAATTGTATTTTCTTCCCATTTAAATAGAAATTAATGGTCAAAATAGATTTTTTTCCTCAAGAAAATAAACACTGAAATGAGTTACTTTCAAAAACCCGTGGAGTGCAATGAATAGACATTGAGGTATCGAAAGGAAAAAATGATTCAGTTACAGGTAATTTAGTTTGCTCTGGTTTTGTCCCTGTTGAGGAAAGAAAGTTATGACTTCTTGTTAGAGAAGGAAAACACACTAACAGTCCCTCATCAAATGATGCTGTGACCAGCCCTGTCCTCCATTGCAGATGCTGAGATGACAGCAGGGTAATTGGGAAGAAAAATAGGGCAAATGGAATAATGTTCTAAAATGTTTATTTTGAAGTTTGGGTTTCTTCCCCTTTGTAATCTGCTCCCACAATATTTTGCAATAGCTCCACTACCAACTGCTTACTGTAAATCAAGCTTTTACTCATCAGACAGTTACGGAGGATACTAAAGTCATCTGGAAATGCGGAAAATCATTTGTAAACATAACAAGTTTTTATTTCTTTTCAATTTCATTAACAGGTGAGGTGCTATCAAAGTTCCACGAAAACTGTTATCTGGAAGTATAAAATCAGTTTTTACCATTAGTTTATATAATTCTGAATTTCTTCAGGTGCTAAACAGTTCTGCTGGAAATTTTTCTGACAGTTTATCAATCCTGAAACCAATATAAAATTTGCAATAAAAAGAAGAAAATTGCTAAATGTAAAACATTTCTGAATGTCAAGCATTTTGTTCACTATTGTTATGCTGTTCTGTCTATCCCAGTGACACACTGCGAGATCTTGCAATGCCATTAAAGACAATCACATAAGAAACTGTTTCTGTTGCAATTGCTTATGTAATGATTTGCCTAAATTTGTAAAGATGGGAAATTCTGTATGTGAAATTAATAAAGCACATACCTGTATAAGTGTCGCCTCCTTGGCAAATCTTCTGTGCTGTGGAAATAACTGAGAAAAAAAAAATCAAAAGGCAATTGTGATACCGTAAGTTGGCAAAAACTAAGACTCTCTAAAACTTGTTTGGGAATTTTAGAAAGCAAGTTTTCTTTATTACAGCACCGATGCACGGGGGATATTTCCTCCTAGCGTGCATACCACATATTGAAGCAGGCATTCCTTTATTTGATTTCTTACCAATAAGTTTCAGCCCATGAGGCAGTCCCATGTTGCCAATTGGTTACATCATTTACGTTACACTTGGTCAGCATTTTCACACTGTGCCTGTTCAGTGAGTAGGGGTCCGGGGGTCCTTCCGCCAGGGGTTGCATTATTTTTAGTATTATAATGTATTATAATGAAGGATAGGTTACTTTCAGACACCACTTTTCGGACAGAACAAGCCAAAACTAGCCAAGCGCTAACATGCAGTCTTCTCGGCGTGTTCTTGTCTCCTTCAAGGACAGTTCCCTAGATTTAAAGGCTCTTCTTGGCAGCTTGAAGGCAAAGGTTTCAAACACATTCCTAAAACTTATCCTAAATAAGCAACAAAGTCCTGCAATTCTAACTATACCAAGGCCTTTACGGTAACAGCTGTATCATTAGAAGGGTGTTTACAAGTATCTCATATAATAACATCTTCATTCACATTGCCGTTTTCCTATTCTTGCAAAGGAAAGAAAAGTTTAAACTGAATTAGAAAAACATGCAGAGGGACATATCACTGCAGAACCTCAAGCAAGCACGTCACCAGCTGCAGTTAAAACAAGCATGGGCTGGACTGGTCATGTCCTTAGCAGGTCAAAAAGGATCAAGCGATCAAGTGAAAGACCATCACATTTTAACCTCAAGATTTACGGCTCAGAATTTTCTTTAAATACCTTTCTTTTTTCTCCAGACCCAGTTTTTACTTGTCTGACCACTTTTGATTCTTTGCCTGGACAGAGAGCTAACTGGGGTCTGATGCGAAACCCACTCAAACATCCCATTTCAAAAGAGGAGCTGGATTTTCAGGGAAGACAGAATATGAAAAAGAATACTCCACTGCCCTTGCTTTGTGCTGAAACTGTGCTAAACTCTTTGCGGCTAAACAACGAAAACCCTGTTGTGTGGTGACATCTTCTGAGAGCCACAGTGAGGTAGTTTTCTTGACCTTGAATCAGCCAGGACTGCTGGAGGTGGCCAACCTCAGCCCAACATGCAAGGTCCAGATTGATCCCCTGGATGTATCTCATGCGAATGATGACAGACCACAGGAGCAAATGTAGTGTCCCTGGGGTGAATAACAAGTCAGGCAGGATATTCAGCCCTGCTGATCTGCTGCCAATAAGCTGCACTTGCCGAGATGTGCATTTTGATTGCACAAATTGTACGTGGTATTTTCTGCTTGACTGGCCAGTAAATATGCAAATAAGGCTTTGGTGTTAGTTTGCTACTTAGCTCTGCCAAGTGCTAAAGATCCTTGTATTGTGCTGAAGTTATTGGTAATGGAAGGCATTCAAAACCTTGAAGAACCATCGTGTTCTTAATGATCATTCAACATCTGCATATATCAGCAGCGTTTTACTCAGCTGTTTAGTGACCTTAAGCAACTGAGAGGTGAGAGCCTTGTATCTAGCTGAAACTTTGCCTGGAAAGGAATCAAACATTTTTTTACGTAATTTCTTGAAAAGTATTTTGAAAAGTAAACATTCATGGAAGTTATTTTGCAAGCATAAAGGGCAAGTGTGAAGAAGGCTAGGGTTTTTTTTGTATTTCAATTAAATATTTCTTTTCTAATACACTGACATTTTTGCAGGTCAATAAAGAATTATTTCTAAAACTGACTATCTTGGTAGTCAATAAAAATAGACTTCAGAGATTAATACCAGAAGTTGCAGCAGAAGAAATCTCTCCTCTACACGACTGTATTTAATAGTTGCAGAAATGTAGGTTTGAACTATACAGGGAAAACCAAAATAAGACAAGATATATGGAATGGTGTGAGAGGTTAAGCCAAAATGGAGAGGACTTCTCCTCCTGCCTTATCCCCATCTCCTTACGCTCATACATTTCAGATGCATACACAACACCGTTGTAACTAATGTTGTAGTCCAGAGAGAAACAAAGGAAGACTGATTTGTCAGACCAAAGTTTACTTACATTTTATGCCTCTTTTCATCATATGCCAATATCTTTGTCACATCCCAATCGCCAGATGTAATAGACTGTAAGTTATCACTGCTACTATTGGGCTGCCAGAAAGAAAATATAATTACATTTCTTTGTTCTTAAAAGAATATATCTGAGCAAAGCTTCTCTACTGAAGAAGGAAGCTCTTTGGACTCTTATTACCTATTAAAAATAAACCATGCATCTGCAATTTCCACCCCTCCCCCTGCTATTTTTGTGAATCTGCAGTCATAGAAAAAATACAGAGTCAGAATCATCTTAACCATAACTCCACTGAAGATAATGGGATGAATTCAGCACAGAACAGCTTCAAACCCCTTCCTCTAATCCAGCATGCCCATGAGCTTCTGATTAATCCTTTATGGCAGTGCAGGGATTTACTTATTTTATGTACAACTAAGAAGGCATTGAAAAACAGAAGCAAAGCAATGATATTGTTTGGAAAGAGTTAGCTGGTTGACCTTTTTCTTTTAAGCATTTCATTTCGAAATTCATGTTATCTTATGCCCAATAAATCATCACAGAAAGTTTTCCTTTATGCACAAGGCCCACATTCAACATTTGCAGCCTCCAGTGTCACCCGTGTGAGCACAGATATTACTTTTTGCTGCTTTCTACAGGCTGGACCCAAAGCAGCAGCAGCGAATGAGTCACCTGTGACGATGACATGGCGATGTGGTAGAACTTCCCACGTCCTCCCTGGGGAATTGCTCGGACAAAGAAAAACTTCCGACCGTCCTTGGAAAAAATCGGCTCTTCATTCTGTAAGCGGCAAATTTAAGGGTTGTATTACTGTTAATTCACTGTATTTAAAATTGCTTATCACTGCAAAAACCTATGAAATTAATTCACAGTGAAACAGGAAGTTCTCTTTAACAGTAACCAGAGGCAAACAAAAGCCCACTGAAAACTGGAGAAAGTTTTGAATGCTATTGTTTCTTGCTCTTGGGAAAGCAGACACCTTTCAGCTAAGGGAAGACAGGGAGGCAGGCAGCAAGGAGAATTCCTTGGCTATAAAGTCAACTCCCATTTGTAAAACAAAAAGTAGACATGTACAGCTGACTGCTCGGGGCAGTTGGAATAAAGCTTTTAGAAATGGTTTGAACCTTGTTGGCACGAGTAGGACAAACCTTGTTTACTCTGCTGGAAGAACTGATCTGTTCCTGTCCTCGAGGAAACACAACTAGCAGCATCTAACTGCTGTCTTTTCCTACTCTCTTACAAATGCTTATTTAACTGAATTATTTATGAAAGGGAGGTTATCTTACAAAACTGTCTTTGACACAGAGCTCCCATGTGAATGTGATGATTGACTTTTATTGGGTGACTAGAACTTTCAGCCAGAGATAGAAGAGACTCAGCAGAAGGAAATCAAACACTATATATGGCAAGCAAGCATTTCCTGGAAGGGTCTTTGGCTTCGTGTTACACAGGAACCCCAAGACACATGGGAGATCTCCACGGCAGGAGGTGGTTGAACAGCAGATTACAAGGGAAAGCAGAACGGATGGTCCATATTGTGTGACACAGTAGCACCGTACCAAAGGAACTGGCTACAGCAAGCTCCTCTACTCTTCATTTTGAATAGCTGGGACTAAACCAAGAGATGAAACTCCTGAACCTCTGCTATGATATCAGGCTTTTCTGGTGACTGGCTGCCCTGGCCCACCTTCGCGGCTCCTTCTTCAAGAGCAGTGAACAGGCAGACTATTGCTCAACCTCTTCTGGGTCCTCCTATGGTTCAGTGTTTATCTAACACCCCAGCCTTCTGCTTGGCACATGTCCAGATACCACACTGAACGAGCAAGAACTTGATTGTACAGGGAGACTTATGACTAATGCAAACACCTACAGCAAAGTAATAAACATTTTTAGTTCTCATAAGCTAAAACATTATTCTTACTGCATGTTCCTTTGCTCCCAGTTCTTTACTGATTAATTCTTTTCCATTACCTATCAGATATACCAACACAGTATTAGGTGTTCAAACTGTTTGTGTTTCCTTTTATTTTCCCCAGCTCAGGCTTTCAGTATATTTTAAAATATGCCCCAGTATATTTTAAAATATACCCATTTATAGCTTGTTGCAGCTTTATGAAATAGTGGTTTCATTTGTTTCTGGCATTGTTCTGGAACTTGAAACATGAAAGTCTGTATTATATCCAAATGTCTTTCATGAGAGGAGAAAACTCATTGAAAAATGACTGTAATAGCTTGGGCAAACCTTGTGCTCAACGGGTTTTCCTTTACTGAGGCAAACAGCAAGGAGTTCACCCTACACTTCTATACCTGTGCCTATGGCATTATTTATTCCAGCCATACATCTCTGCCAGGGAGAGCAGGTGTTGTGCAGATCAGTTTGAGGTTCATACAGAGTTACAGGGGAAGGAGGTACACGGCACGAATGACACACACAAGGCTTTAGCATGCAGCTGATGTTATGAGACAGCTTGTTTGCAAGTTCCTGTTGCCGGAAAGACAACACGTTTATACAACCAGAACTTTCAGATCTTGACAGAGATGGTGACTTATCCCAGATGGCAAATGGTGTGGGAGACGTCAGGCTGAAAGGTTTATGAAGCAGGATTTAGTACTGTTGGGAGCTACACTGGGCATGTAATTAAAATATTCTGCATGTGATACAAACAGTTTGAGCCTTTGGTTGACTATTGTTGACTGAATGCCACAACTAGAACAGAAAAGAGCTCCTTGAAAATAACAGGAGATCAGTTTACTGCTGGGATAAATAAATCCTTTTCCTATGCAACAGGTAGGGAATTTCTGGAAGGTTTTGCCACAACAGGCTTATGGACACAGCTGATATCAGAAAGTGTAAAAAGGGGTTGAACTAGCTCATGATTCACTAGCAGATCCTGAAGGGAACAGACATGGATATAGTCTCAAATGTCTTTAATCTTTTTATTGTAGATGGTGGTGAAATAGGAGAGGACTGGACTGCAGAAAGCAGCCAGCTCACACACTGTCCTTACATACCATCAGCTGCTGTGCCTGCTAAAGACAGGCTGATAGAGCAGAGGAAGCAGTGGTGAGGCTCGGTAGGGCACTTCCTAAGTCCTTATGGCTGTTGTCTTCTTGCTCAGCTCTGTATTTAGACAAATTTCACCCAAACAGCCAAAGCCAGTTTCCAGAAATCCTCTGCTTTGTGCAGATGAAGGACAACACTGTCCTTATGTCTCACTCAGATATACAGAGGAAAAAAGCAAGATAACTCTGGCAAGATGCCACAGCAGCTTAAATCAAAGCTTAAATCTGACTGAGTAAGTGTGGGTCCCTGATCCCATTTGCCTTCCTGGGAGCTCTGTGAACACTCAGTGTCCTGGTTTGGGAAGCAGATCTACCCAGAGCTGCTCACCTATGATGGGCAACTCTCCCCTGGGAGGAGGAGGAAGGAAATAGATGGTTGGAGCTGAGGACTACCCAGTCATGCTCAGAGCTGAGGGAATAATCACTAACCAAAGGATGACGCTGTGGCTGGAGAAGGAATTGGTGGAACTAACCAACCTGCATCGCTATCAGTAAAAGAAAGAGGCAGCAACTCCATTTCCAGCAACCTGTTTATTGCTGTGTATCAAAATGATGTCACCAAAGGCTTCATCTATGGGGGAAGATATAAGGTGATGGCAGGCTGCTGGAGGGCACTGTGACTCCTGGAGGGATCAGTGCTGGAGTCAGAGTTGTGCAACACAGGCCAGTGTATCTGCAAATGGCCAGGACAAGAAGAAACCAAGCAGAGCCTCAGAGGGTTATCCCAACTTTGGCAGAATCAGGACGAATGAGGTGACTGTGCCATATGCAGTCTGAGCTTCTGTAGGTCTTAAAGAGGTGCATGAAGTTGTGGAATAAGGAACAATAATTAAAAAAAAAAAAGTTAAAGTATATTGAATTTTGTATGGAGAGGGGTCACCGAGCATCACTGGATCTGCGGCTACCCAAGGAAGACTCCTCCCGTGAAAGAAGGAAAGGTAAGGATGGTGGGGAGTGCACAAGTGTCTCTGACCTTGAGGATCTGCATGATCAAATGTGCACTGGAACAAGCATTTGAAAGAGAAATTACCCACTTTATGGTGAGTTGGAGTATATGAAAGCCACGTGGACCCTTAAGTACAGCACCACCAATACCACCCACGCATTGACGTGGGTCAAACACTTGCCGTATTGTAACACCACAGTTTGCAGCTCCAAACTGCTCTGTCTGTTGCTGTCATGGTTCAAAACACTTTCTGCCTCCTGCTTTTCTAGACTCACAGCACTTCATATGCTTTTGGCTGAACTCCACATATTTCTCACAGAAATCAGTGGGAGAGCAGATTCTTTGAAATTTATTACTGACTGAGAATTATACGTCTATGAGAATTATGTTTTTCTGGTTTATCCTCAAGTTTTAAAAAGGAACTAATTAATCTGAATAACCCAATCCTTGCCATTTGATCCTCTGATGCATTTTGTCTTCCTCAACACTGCTCGCTCTGTTTGCTCCATCTTTGCCCAGATCCTAGAATTAATGATTTTGCTCTGTGGGTACTTATTCTTTCAGGGAAAAAGTGTCACAGGGCCATAGCTCTGATAAACAGATAGGCGTGATGTGAGTCCTTTTAACCCTTTGTGTTTTGGTAAACACTGTTGAAATCCAACAAAGTGTTAAAAATGTGCATTGGCTTTACTTTGACAATGAAGTCTTCTCTTTTGGGCACAGGGAGAAGAACTCTTTCCATCCCCTGCCACACTCAGCCCCTGGGGCAATGCTGGACTTTGTCCTCCATCCCTGTCCCCATGCTCATCTGTGGCTGGGTGCATTGCACCAGTGGGCGTCTCTGAAGCCAGGGCACCTGAGTCAAAATACAGGGTCATCAATCGGAGAGGAGCCCATGCCTCTGAGTATCAGTCCCCTCCACTGAATGAAATCAGGACTCTTCATTTAACTGCCAAAGACTCTATTTGTAGCCAGAAGCTGCTATTTATCTCTAGCAGATTAATTTGGGTATTTGAATTGTGGAGCTCTGGGTCCTATTTCTACTGCATCTTTTCTGTTTAGGGCAACATTAGGTCAGTTATGGCGTTATTGCGTGACAAAAAGGCTTTACAGAGTGAAAAAGTCAGTCTTGTTTGTAAGGTTCTCTGAACTCTTTTTTTATTTTAAAAAATTTATTTCATACCACCTATTAACTAGAATTATCATAAGAATCATTAATGGGTTATTATGCTCTCAGGATGAAGGCAAGGGAGTTGCAAAAGATATATGGTATGAAGTTTTCAACATCTCAAGATTTTGACAGAGCAAAAATCTTTAGTTTCACTTTGAGGTGATCTGAAACACTATGGAAATAGGAGGACTGGAAAGAAAAGCGCAACCCAAAGGAACTGTTATCAGGTGAGGCCAGCCAGCCCACACAGGCGGTTTTGGAGGTTATTTGTCTCTAAACAATTTTGTGGTAATCTCTTTGTCCTGCCAATATCAGTGTCAAAGCCTACCGCCTTTGGTGGAGTTGGAATTACACCCTGGTTTATAATTAAATATGTTCAGGCCACATTCACAATTAAGTAAATAAACCAATTAAAATGCCAGTGAAGTTTGTTTTCAGCAGGTGCTCAGAAATTGTCTTAATTCTCCTTTGCTGACTCGTTGTCTGTATATGACCATCGTTGGGACTATTGGAAAATGACCTCTTCTCAAAAATTGAAACAAAATTGTTTACAGCTGTAATTACTGTTTCAAAGGATTTGTATATTTAAGCAAAAGGATGACTAAAGTTCAGTTTGGCTCTTATTCTCAGAAGCGCACAAGCAAGTAAATAAAAAAAAGCAGTAAAACCTTCCAAAGTTCCTAGGCAGTTTTAGTGAACATGTGCCTGTTCTTCTTTCTGCAAAAGGTTTTGAAACACGGGCCATATCGTCTGATGAGGAGTGACAGATACTTTCTAGCAAAACCTGTGTAAATACTGTGTATTTCTCATTATACTTTGAGTAATTTATCCTATTTTTCAGCTACACAGACAGTAACAGCAGTATTTCTCTTTGCCTGTATTGGACACAGGCTCTCCAATGATTTTGAACTTCAATAAAAATCATTCATGGACTTACACCCAGAAGGGAACACGATATCATTTACTACGACCTTCCATACACAGACAGACATAAATGTCACTGAGTTACCAGACTACTAGAACAACATCAAAATTCAAATTCATGGGTTGTATGCCCTATCTCAGAACGCCCAATATTTCAGACAGCTGAAAAAAGTCAATCTTGTCATCCTTGGAGACTATCTCATGTCCCTGGTGGGTATCTTCTGATACTGATGCTTTTCTCTCCTTGACTCCTGCTCCCAGCCTACTGTGAAGTTTGCCCATATTACAGGAAGACTAGATGCACTTAAATTCTCAAGAAAAAGGTGAAGCTCCTGTATGTTTTTCAAACCAGCTGTACGGAGTAGTTTGAAGGAGTATTTTAAAGAATGAGGCAAGCAGTTAGATTTCTCCATCCTACTGATTTAAAATAGGGCTACTTCTCACAAAGAGGTCTGGTCAATGGAGCACACAGAACAAATTGGTCACCCAGGCAGTGGGTGTCATCTTCAGGGTGCGCTGAATCATGCTCAAGGTCCATTGACTCTGTGGCCACACTACTCACCATACTGGCTGTCTGCAGAGGGGAATTGGACACCTGGCTCATATGCATATACTTATATTAAAATGTCTCAACCAAGGAGTCTTCATCCTGAGCTGAGTCATGCTCCTGAGCTCCTCTAGTAGCTGCCTAATGTGTAATTCATCTCCTCTTCAAAGAGGTTAGGAGGCTTACACTAGCATTTAACATTTTCACATCATTCTCATGGTCAGACACACATGCCATGAAAATAACTTTCCAGTTATCTAGATTCATGTCTCATAGACTAAAAGGTAAACATAGAAAAGACAGCTATCCTAGTAATCATATATTCAGTCAAAACTAGGATTTTAAGTAATTTTGTTGTCAGAGATACAGGCGAAAGCATTGTACTTCTTCAGATTCTCACAAAAGCTTTTGAAGAGTACTATCAAATGTCTCCAAAGTCCATAGCAAATGTTCTCTTAGTTTAGCAGTGAGATGTCTGACTCATTTGCCTGCAATGAACATCCTTCTCTAACCTCAAACTAAGTATATGATGTTTGGAGATGCAGTAAAGCAAACCATAGTTCCCTGGAGCAGGCTGGTTAAAAACTGACAGATCATTTACCACAGTGATTCAGGACAAAGCACCACCTCTTCATGCCTATCCACGTAGCAGGTAAATGACTAAAGAACCATGGCAGTGTGAAAAAACAAGTTCTAGTATACTGCATTAATGGAGGTCCAGTAAATAGCAGTGAAAGGATTAAAATTATCCTTGGAATCTGGGAAATACTTTTTTATTTGAAAGATACGAAATATGGACAATTTAATTTTCTCTTGACTTGGCTTTGAAGCTTTTGTTTTCTGCTCAAGCCAAAAGTGTCCTTATGAATATAAAGAATAGTTCAGCAGTATTTTTGCTCCATACCTGAGTACACCCGCAAAAGATTATTTGAAATGCTTGGAGCACGAACTCTGTTTCCTCTGTAAAATCATTGTTTTATCTGAATCAGACATAGCCCATTGATGTAGGACAGCCCCTGGAACAGAGGAGATCATTGTTCTTGCTGTGAACAGATGTACTGCAGTTTCTACAGGTTCTTGGATCCTCTGAACAAGCTGTGACAAAAATGTGAAATGTTCTAAATCTGGAAGGAAGGCTAGGGACAACGTGGGGCCGCTGCTGAATGAGGCAGGTGTCCTGGTGACGGAGGATGCGGAGAAGGCAGAGCTAATGAATGCCTTCTTTGCTTCAGTCTTCAGTGCTAAGACTGGTCCTCAGGAATCCCAGGCCCCGAAGGTAAGAGAAGAAGCCTACAAAGAGGACGACTTTCCCTTGGTCGAGGAGGACTGTGTGAGGGATCGCTTAAGTGATCTGGATGTCCACAAATCCATGGGCCCCGATGGAATGCACCCACGAGTGCTGAGGGAGCTGGCGGATGTCATTGCTGAGCCACTCTCCATCATCTTTGAGAGGTCCTGGAAGACAGGAGAGGTGCCCGAGGACTGGAGAAAGGCCAATGTCACTCCAATCTTCAAAAAGGGCAAGAAGGAGGACCCAGGGAACTACAGGCCGGTCAGCCTCACCTCCATCCCAGGAAAGGTGATGGAGCAGCTTATCCTGGAGGCCATCATCAAGCAAGTGGAAGAAAAGAAGGTTATCAGGAGTAGTCAGCATGGATTCACCAAGGGGAAATCATGCCTGACCAACCTGATAGCTTTCTATGATGACATGACTGGCTGGGTAGACGAAGGGAGAGCCGTGGATGTTATCTACCTTGACTTCAGCAAGGCTTTCGACACAGTCGCCCATAATATCCTCCTGGGGAAGCTGAGGAAGTGTGGGCTGGATGAGTGGTCGGTGAAGTGGATAGAGAACTGGCTGAATGGCAGAACTCAGAGGGTTGTCATCAGCGGCGCTGAGTCTAGTTGGAGGCTGGTGACAAGTGGTGTCCCTCAGGGGTCAGTACTGGGCCCAGTCTTGTTTAACTTCTTCATCAACGACCTGGATGAAGAGTTAGAATGTACCCTCAGCAAGTTTGCTGACGACACCAAACTGGGAGGTGTGGTAGATACACCAGAAGGCTGTGCTGCCATTCAGCGTGACCTGGATAGGCTGGAAAGCTGGGCAGAGAGGAACCTGATGAGGTTCAACAAGGGCAAGTGCAGGGTCCTGCACCTGGGGAGGAACAACCTCATGCACCAGTACAGGCTTGGGGTGGACCTGCTGGAGAGCAGAGAGGGACCTGGGTGTCCTGGTGGACGACAGGTTAACTATGAGCCAGCAGTGTGCCCTGGCTGCCAAGAAGGCCAATGGGATCCTGGGGTGCATCAAGAAGAGTGTGGCCAGCAGGACAAGGGAGGTTCTCCTTCCCCTCTACACTGCCCTGGTGAGGCCTCATCTGGAGTACTGTGTCCAGTTCTGGGCTCCCCAGTTCAAGAAGGATGAAGAGCTACTGGAGAGAGTCCAGCGGAGGGCTACAAGGATGGTGAGGGGACTGGAGCATCTCCACTACGAGGAGAGGTTGAGGGAACTGGGCTTGTTCAGCCTGAAGAAGAGAAGGCTGCGAGGGGACCTTATAAATGCCTACAAATATCTGAAGGGTGGGTGTCAGGAGGATGGGGCCAAGCTCTTTTCAGTGGTGCCCAGTGACAGGACAAGGGGCAATGGGCACAAACTGAGGCACAGGAAGTTCCGTCTGAACATGAGGAAGAACTTCTTCCCTCTGAGGGTGACGGAGCACTGGAACAGGCTGCCCAGGGAGGTTGTGGAGTCTCCTTCTCTGGAGATATTCAAGACCCGCCTGGACAAGATCCTGTGCAGCCTACTGTAGGTGACCCTGCTTCGGCAGGGATGTTGGACTAGATGACCCACAGAGGTCCCTTCCAACCCCTACTATTCTGTGATTCTGTGATTCTGTGGACTTGGAAAAATATAGTACAAGATCTTTATATGACATGCTGCTCCCTGTCTGATGTTCACATATCCCATGAAAAACAGTTCAGTGTTGTGGCTGAATTGGTATCAGCAGCTTCTCTCTCAAGAACAGCTTAATCAAATCTGAGGTCACTTCACAAACTGACTGCTGGGGAAGTGTTATAAATGATCTTCCAGAGAATTACATGGTAGAAATCTAGAGTTTTTATATAGGCATATGTTGACAAAAAAACCTTTTCTGAAAAAAAGAAAGTAAAAAAGAAAAATTCCATAAATTTTCTTTGGGGTTTAAATTTTCTATCTCTATTTTTTTTTCAGGGTTTATTCTCATCTTTGTTTTGTTTCATTTGGGGGATGGGATCACAATATTACATACAATGTAATAGTACTACACACAAATTACAGTGTCAGAAGAATTACGTGATGTGGTTATCTGTTAAAACAGGATATTAAACCACATTAGGTAGTTTCTCCCCATTCTATGCTCCATGTAAGTCCTCATTGTTTTAATTGCTCAATCAACGCTCTAATTTTATTTTTCACCTTTCTTACAGATGCAAATAGCTGCAGAATAACATAGGTAATTTTGCCAAATTTAGGTTAAATGACTTGAAAGTCCTATCTGCATGATTTTGGCTCTGAATGGACATAAACCTTCTTAACAGAATGACCTTTGAACTTCTGTTTTCAACAGTGGTCTTCTTTCCTGTGTGGAAGTCCAGAAAACAACCACTGTATTGCTTAAAATCATCATCACTCTCAACATATGGTATGAAGGACTACCTCTGAGGCTGACAAGTCTCACACAGATATTGTCAGTGGGTGAATTTCCACCAGCATCAGCTTTTTGTCTCTTTCAAATCCAAGGCAATTGCAGGCTACGAACCGTGAGACCTACCAGAGAAGATGGCATCTTCAATGAGAACTTGTTTATTACTGAGACACTCTTTTCTAGAACACAAAGCATGCCTTCTTCCAAATATCTTTCTCAGGTTTGGAAATCAGTTTTTGTCTTAGGGGAGAAAAAAAATGAAATAAAAAAACCTACCAAAAATTTGACCGCGAAGAGAAGACCACTATTACCTGTCTGTGCAGCCAGCCTTCACTTTCATCTTCATGTTTCTGTAAAAAACAAGATCGTTAAATACCATACTCTGCATGTATTATATTTTACTTAGCAGTGCAGGAAGCAGTTGGATTGAATCAGAAAGATTGTGCAGAAGCATGAAGCAACTGCTTAAATATGTGCTTCAGGAGTATAATCCAGTGACTGCTCTCCTTGTCTTTCCTCTCGAATGAATAAACATGCACTTGTTCAAGAGAGCATTTTACTCATGCAGACAAAACACATATATCAACAAGATATATTATTCCCCAAAGAAATCAAGCTTGTTAAGAAGCAAACAAAGGTTGAAACAAAAGTTGTTAAGAAAAGATTCTGCACTGTGCTCAATGCACAGTACTACATCATTTTTTTCAAGGGATAGATCTATCAGAACACTTTTCTACTATGAAACACCTATGCCAATTTAAAGGATGGTATCCAATACTTACACAGGCTACATCAAAACATAATTTGCATTAATATGTCTATGGAAGGTACTAATCAACTAAAAAGAAATAGTGGGTAGAGAAGCATGAGCCATTTTTAATGCCATTCAGTACTTATAATGCCATTAAACTAGAATGTTGCAAAGATATTCGGGTTACAAACTGTGGATGTATGTGCGCTTGTGCATGTATACACTTATTTCAAGACAAGTAAGCACTCTCTTACACACACATGCATGCACACAGACTGTGTGCAGCAACATACTATTCCTGGCTGTTTAGAAGGTGTCAAATAAAAAAAAGTAAATATTACAAACATTGTTTATATTCTGTGTCTGCCTAAATAAATGGGTGCCAGCTGACTTGCTGCCAGGTAAGACAACTGAAATACTTTCTTCTTGCGTGGACTATGAAAACCGGTGGCAAGCAGCCATTTGGCTTGTCTCTCCTACCTTTGTGCAGACTCCCGTGGTGGCATCGCAGAGAGTCAGGATAGACATGTTCTGGGCCCTGTTCAGCCAGTTTACTGCCACCTTGGTGCTGGTTGCCCACTTCACCATGGTTATGTAGTAGTCCCTGCAAACCCAGACAAACATAAACTGAATCACAATTCTGACATCCTAATGAATTGCCACATGGCACAGCAGTCGAAGGCTGCTGCAGGCAAATGGTCCAGGAGAGATCTCTGGTTATTAACAACGTTGCATCGTGATGTCTCTAGGCTGCCTTATGCATGGAGGTCAACTCCTAAAAATGACATTTTTAGGGCTATGCAGGTGTTTTATCTGCTACTTCTGAAAGTCATTTTCAAAGAAGAGATGAATACGGAGATAAAGAATCTTTCAAGCTATTCTACCTTCCAAGAAAGACTGAAATGCCTGGAGACACAAATTTATGCACAGGTGGAAAAGAAATTGCAAACAATTTCCATTCTGAGCATACTAACTGTCTGACTCAGACCATTCACTGCTGATGGTTGGATTCTTTATGCTTATGAAGAGTTAATGGCCTTTAAATATGCCTACTACACACCAAAATATCCATGAGTGTTGCATTAAAAGGAAAACAGCAAGAAGGATAGAGTTTAGAGAGAAACAGGGTTTCTGCAGAGCAGATACAGCTGGCCGCCATAAAGACATCAGCAGAGATGTGATAGTTTGCATTGACAAAGTCATCATCCCACGCTCCCTGTGCCATTCTCTATTGCTGGACATATTCAGGTTGTGGTAATTCTTGGTTTAAATCGCCAGTGTGGGCTGCACAGTCCTGTAATCAATACCTTGTCCTAGAAAACACAGGAAAAGGTCTGCACAATTCTAAGCAATGGAACCACTTTAGATGGCCTGGGCTGGAAAATACAGGATCACAAATAAATACATTGACAGTCACCTTCTCAGAGCCAGTCTGCAGTGGTACTCACAGATGTCCACCTCTGCAGCAATTCAAGGCTTCACCACTTTATCTCTAGTGTAAAACTCTGGCTGAGCTGACAAAGTTGGTGATGTTATAATATACTGCTGGGCTTTGTGGGCCAAAGACATCTTTAAATTATAATATGACTTTTCACAGCATAGAGTCTATAAAAAATTTATTAGTTCATTTGTTTGCTATAAAATACGTATAAGGAATTGTTGCTCTTATTGGAATTAATGTGCTGTGTCACTGGAGAGTACTTTGTGTTCTGGCAACCACTCCTGCACATACTGAAGAGAAAGGGCAAAAGCAACACAGACCTGTTTGTCTAGCAAAATAACCAGTTGGAAATTGATTCTGTAGTTTTCAGTAATATTTAGTGCCTGAATTTTGCTGGGGAAAAATAACAAAAGACCTCAACAATTGCATCTACTGCACTGGAAGGAAGGATACTTCCAGATGAGACAACAGCAGTCTAAAAATTCAGTGCCTGAAGTAAAATTGTAATTTCACTCTTTATCAGCAACAGCATAGGCCCTAAGAGGAAAAAACTAACCAAGTAAAATTAAACTATATAACCATCTCTTCTTTCTCTCCAAAATTAACTGACCAGATTCAGTCTCCCCAGAAAAGGAATGAGAATTTAGTACATATGGTGGCTTGGAGCGTTTTTCCCTTAAATCCAATTTAAAGTTTGAAGGACATATAGTCAGTTTTTACATCTCTTGCTGTTTGAACACAGAAGCCACAGATCTTTCTCAGGAACCTTTAATTATTATTTTAGGTCAAATATCATCTTCCCTACCACCTCAGAGATGGGCATAGAGTCTCAATTTCTCTCTGAAGCCTTTCCAGCCATCAAGCCCCCAGCCAGCAGACAACTGCAGATACTTGTATAGTTATGATTCCAGTCTCAGAGTAGCGTGGAGTCTTTAATTTTCTTCACATCTCTTCTGTAGGACAACCAAGTTTTATGTTTTGCATTTTGCAGAGGAAAATGAGACAATAATGTGTGATTCATCTGAGTTAATTTTAAACATCTGCAGCTCTGACAGCTGCACTGGCTGAGCAACCACTGGAGCACCTTTCTGGAGGTACAATTTTAAAATAAGAGGTATGAATCTGCAGTATGAATAAAGCATGAGAACAGTAATAAAGCCATAAACACCACAAAGAACAGACAATTAAATATTATGTGGCCAAGTGAGAGGCAGCAGCCCAGCCCATGGTCCCTGGGACACAGCCGGCTCCTGCCTCTGATCCAGGCTCCAGTTGTCTGAATTTCTCCATTATTTGTTCATGACCTATGCAAGGTCCAGTGACAATTTCTGCACTCAGGGAAGATAATGTCTGTGTTTAATTTGCCACCTGAGGTGCAAATATGACATAAGAAAAGAGTTGGGTCACCATCCAGTTCTCACCACTGGCTGATGTAACTCTTGGGAGTCCAATGATTTTAACCAAAATAAAAAATGCCTTTCAGTCATTTAATGTTAGAATATTTTTTTCTGCAATTTGCCCTCCACTTCCCCTTCACTTCCATTTTTTCACAGAGAAGCATGACATTGGAGAAAACTTGGCAAAAATGCTCAGCATGAAAGATTTTAAAAAAGGAAAAAAAATAAGAATTCTATATTTTGCCCCAAATATATTTTCCCATGATTGGATTTCCTTCTTTTGTACACTGAAAGATATCCCAATTCTGTGGAAAATTTCTGACTTCTTTTCATTCTGAAAGAAAAATGACCCTGGCATATCTCCACTTTATTCTCAGCTTTATTAATTGTACTAAACCACTTTGCTCCAGATAAAAAGAACACCAAGAAGTACTGCTCTGTCCATTCATCATCTGCACGAACAGATTGAAGAACTGCTTGAAGATCCTCATCACCAGCTCCCCCTGCTCCTTTGAAGCTCCCTTCTGCAACTAACTGTACGGTACATCCCTCTTGTCTTTCGTAATGAAATTTTATCACACTTGTCCTCTCATTTCAGAAAACATATGCATAATGAAAATGTACCCCTATTGCTCTAGCAGCACTACTTATATCATGCCCTAGGGATGGAAATTGCCATGGTTTTGATGAAATATACAGAGACTAATTAATTATGAGATATTTTGAATCATTTTACAATATTGATTGCAACCAAATAAATTACAGCCACCCGTAACCACACAGGACAAATTTATTAACAACACTTGGATCTTACAGTCTAAAGTTATTACTATAATGAAAATGTTTCTGAATCTCTCTGTTTACAGAGTAAGCTAGCAATAGAAAAGTGATACTATCCAGGAGCTGCAGTTCTAATACTGTGATGGAGATACTGTGATGATGAATTGCTGCCTGCTGTACACAGATCTGAAGTCGTGTTTTTGAAAGACAAGTGAAGTTATGCCCATTTGGTTTGGCCACAGGTCATACATATTTTATTGCATAAATGGTTTTGGAGTATTTTAGAGTTATTCAGTGAAAACCTATTCTGAGGCTGACGCTAGCTTTCCTAGCAAAGAAAGGCAACTGCCACCATTAATAATCCCACTTTTTTAAGTATCCTCTCATCAGGTGACTACACAGCCTATCCACAGGCCTTATATATTTACCATGCGTAATGCAGATCACCCCTGCACCCTCCCCTGCCCTCCAAGCCATCCTGTTTCATTAGCTCTGTGCTCTATCTTTATCTTTATTGGCACTAGAATTGCAGATCCAATAATCTAATTTAGCATTCAGTAAAAAGAGGTGAGCATGCATGTTGGTTGGGTGCTCCGACACGAATAAGGGATGTGCCTGGGAAGGATAATCTTGCAGCATTACATTTAGAGAGGTCACTATGGATACTTTAGATGTAGGAGCAGAGTCTGATTTCTCTTGGCCTGCTGTAAAGTTATTTCAAGTTTAAATCAAAGTTACTGAAATCTGGATTTGGATTCTAATCTCCGAGCTTTGCAGGGAGGAGTGCCATGCCTTACCTAAAGCTGCTTCTCTCCTGAACAATGTGATCTTCCTTTTAAGTGTTCACAGATCCATAAACGTCGCTCAAGCTTTGACCACATGCTGAAGTCCAAGCCAAACTTTTAAACTGTTGCTGAATGCGGACTTAAGCACTTACTTAATTAGAAATGGGTACCTAAGTAGTTGGCTGAATTGCAGGCCAACTTCTAAAATACACTTGCCCTAAAAACAGCAAAAAGCTTTCCTTTTTATTTTTAATGAAGACTGGGTAATGTATTTGCAGAATGTCTGCCTGGTTTCATTCCTGATGTGAGGAAGCAGCGAGCTCGTGTTTGCTGTGTTATAGGGCTGCCCTGTTTCTGCTCCGTGTCCTTCATACAGGCTGCAGACAATAGCCCCTTTACAATGCCTGTGATTACATGTGACGGGGATGTGTTACGGATTTTGGAACATTTTGCCAAGTTCTCTAAAAATAACTTTACACAGAAGTTAGTCTGTGTCACAGTGATTTCAAGTAAAAACTAATAAAGTTCTATAAAAATACATGTAAGAAGAAAAAATAATTTGAAAAATTTTAAGCAGATTTGCACAAAATGAAAATCCTTGATAGTGGCAGAGAAAGGCACTGTAAAATGATCTTGAAAAAAGTTAAGGACTGATTTAAATCCCTGACAGGAAGGTATCCATCCTCTCAGGGCAAGAAAGCACCTACCTCATTCTCTGATCGTCTGGAGGAGTCATTTCCAGGTCATGGGTAGGTCCGTTCAGACCAATCACATGCAAAGAAATGGTTGGATTTTCCATTCCAGCCTGGATTTTAAAACAAGAATAAATTACCATATTTTATACAATGCAGAATGGTTTTGATTTATCATTTTATAATCCCCATGGATTATCAAATGCGCTCCCATTGTGCAAGGGCAGGGACTGGACTGTTGCAGCCGTTCACAGGAAAACTGCAGCTGTAGTGATTTGGCGCAGGGGTATGGATAGGTTGGTAGGCACAACCAAGGGGTAATTATACTTAGGACACTTTTAGCCTTGGTAAAAGATGCTAATTTTCAAGGTGACTAGAAATACTGCTGGTTTATGTATCTATTCATAGAAGGTTGTCTAACAGGATGATGGTAGACATAGTAAAATACTGATTTGTTTTGTGTCGTAGGAAACGGCATCCCCTGCCAAATCACTGTTACTTTCCACAAAACCTGATATGTATGGAGACCTCTCCTGTTAAATAATGATTCAATTTGGAACAAAGTGTGAGGTCTTAGGTAATCAGCGCATAAAGCGAGAGACCCGGAAGAAATTACTGCAGCGCACTACACTTCTGTACTGTCTTATAGCAGAAAATTACAGCAGTAACAGCAGCAGTGCATCGATACCAGCCCAGAGCTGTGCTGGTGCTGTACCATCGCTGCAGGACTGCCATGCAGGTCTCTGCAGTCAGGGAGAGATTGGCTTTTAAGTCTTCTTTGTCTTTCACGGTGTTCTTCGTAATGCTCAGGCACAACACATCTACAAATCCAGGCTGTCTCCTCTGATATTTGGCCATCTTAGGCATTCTAAGGAAGCCCAAATACTACTTCTGTTTAAAAGGAAATCTATCTAAATGTAGTAACGCTGGCTTCCAAACTCTCAGACACCTATCCAGCATGCAAGCACAGTTGCCTTTGCATGAATTCAAAGCAAGAATTTTTAAATTTTATTTTCTTTATGTTTAGAATGACTAATACTTGAATCGGAAAACTGCAATTTTATAAATGCACCTGAAGAGTAGTGAAGATCACATCCACTGGGGAACAGCTGATCTTCCCTTAGATCTGTTTATTTTCATTGCTTATGAGTGTGCATTATTATACAGTCTCCTGTCTGAGCCTACCGGAAAAAAAAAAAGATTTTTTTGATAGAATAACAGGACCTTTTGCTTTATTTTCCCTTACCTTTGGATAATGATACGTTTTAACAGTAGGGTAAAGGCTGCCAGTGTATACTGGGATCTCCATGGTGGGCACTCTGGACGCATTAATTGTTGCATATGCTAACCTCGTGCCATCCGGAGACCACCAATGAGCAATATGAGTCTTCAAGATCTCTTCTAATTGAAAAAAAAAAAAAAAAAAGGCGAGAATAGAAAAAAAGGCTATTAGATGTAAATTACTAGTTAGCAATAAATGAAACAGCATAGATATGAAAGTTCCAGTCTAATCACAGCACAGGGAAGATACCACAGGAATATCAATTAAAAATACTCATTAAATTATGCCATATATACAAATGACCACAACGGATAACAATTACTCTGAATATATAGGTTATTAAGTGTAATTATCTTGCTCAAGAAACATGAAATTATTCATATTAGTACACATATTCATGACAGCATGAAAGGCCCTTCTGCTCCTACTATGTGCCCTGTACACGGATATGTGAACATATGTAATGCACGTGTTGGCAGAGCTTGGGTTCCAACCTGCCCGATGGTAACATAATCAAGGCTCCCCCAGGGCCAACAGAGAACTGCAATGACTGAGATTTAGTTCTCTGCCATAAAGAGTTCACAAAATCATACTAGATACATATCAATGGATTCAGGCAGTGTTCATACTTAGATACAAGTGCTTCAGCTACAATTTAAATCCTCCTAAGCTCTGTTGCCACCTGGGAATAAACAAAAATAGCAATTTTCGAAAAGTTCTGTAGTGCTGGATCTTTGTAACTCTTTACAAGATACCGTGCTTTAGAGTCTGTGGCCTGGATACCATCTTGACTTTTATCCCTATTTCATTTTTTAAATCACTTTTACAAAGCAATATTCCATAAACAACCAGGATCAGAAACTGATTCTTTTCACCATTGAATTTGGGAATTCTAGATTTTTTTTGTGATTTGAATAGTGTAGTTGCTATTGAAATTGTGCTCAGAAAGATGCCAATCCAAACATATCAGAGTTCAAGTATGTAAAGAGAAAACAAGATTGCCATCACAACAAATCATTTTGAAGATCGACGAAACCTAGTTCTCATAAAAAATAAATTAAAACTTTTTCTTATCATTTCATATCCTTCATTGCAAAGATGACTTCAGCTCATAGATATCCAGTAAAGCTATAAAATTCACTCTTTGTCCAAAGTGTCTCCAGTTATTGACATTTGGAAGACACTAACTTGGCTTTTTAAACCTCCCATTTTGCAAAAGGCAATAATATAATCCATTTTCATTAAGAGGCTTAATATCATATGAGTCATTCCTATTTAAACCATAGCAGAAGGGCTTGCAAATGCTGTACAGATTGATGGGCAGGAAGAGAAGTCCCTTTACTTTAATATGAAAATAAGAATTAAAGAGGCTGCAGAGCGTTCCTAAGCCTTCACCAGTGAAGTCCTGCTGCACAAGTCCAAGCAGCTCCAATATCTGCTATTATCACTGGTCTTTGCAAAAATCGGTGAAGATTCTCTTAGTGCAGACCCACCATGTTCATACAACACCCTGTTACGACCTCTCAGTCCAACCAGAACATCCCTCCGGTCTGAAGAGTAGAAACTCACCAAAGACTATTTTATTTCTTTTAAAAATATCTTGGATGAGTGATCCTTAGAGAACAGTCAAACAACTATATTCATCATAGATCGAACAAACACGTTTGTCACTCCTGATTTGCAAATGGCTTGAGATAAAACTCAAGGTAACATTAGAAAGGGTGCAAGCGAAAATCACCCTCGACAGTCATGCCTTCTACAAATAATGAATTAATACTTCATGGCAAAGTCTAAGTGAGGTTTCAGAAAGATGTCTAGGAAGTTAGAGATATTACATGGGAAAGCACATCTCTAGCAAATTTGCTTTGCTGCATTGTCCCACCTGTTTTGTGCACGTTTAAGAGGTGCTGCTTTTGACTTTTATATTGGTTGCTCATTAAAAAGATATTTAATAGTATAAAGGAAAAGAAGTAAAAATGGTTGGCAGATGAATCCTTGACATTTTAACATTAATTAGGAATGACTTTATTCAGCAAACATTTTCTCCAGAATCTCAGACTTAATGAAGAAGTTCTGCTGAAGGTCACATGCCAAGAAAGATTTTAGTGCAGGTTTTCTGGTCCTCTGTTAATGAAATTTAATTGTGTGAACCTTTGCCTTGAAACAAAACCAGGACCTTGCAATTATTAGAGAGATCAGTTATTTTCAGCAAATCAGAGAACATTCTTCTGACATACAAAATACGTTAATACCAGAAAGTTTCACCTGAAAGTAAAATACAAGTTTGTTCCTGGGGACACTTCATTCGTTGTGCTTGTATTTACCACATGCTCAAAAAATCACTTGCATTCAGTACTCCTAGGTCATTCTAAAGTCAGTTCAGAACTCACTTCTCATATGTCAGAAAACAGGTTCTCCCTAACACCAACCCCCCCCTCCACATATAGCTTATGACCTCCTAGCTAAGAGTATAAAGTGGTAATTGATGGACACTTTTGCTCTGTTCCTCAAAGCTTGCCGTTGCTGGGTGCTACGTGATGTAGGGATGCTGTGAGCGAGCTGCTGGTGGCTCTGTGCTGCTTCTTTCTCTACAGCTTTGTCTGCCAGCCGTCACACTGGGCATGCAAGCCCTAACAGCAGTGAGAATGCAGAGTGCAGTTGCCTTAACTGAAGAAGGACCGTGATACTGCCTGTTCAGACGTGGTGGCTGGGTTCAAGCACAGAGACTGAGGCCAGTCAATGCTTATTCCACGTTACCCCATTCAATATCGAACTACTCTGAAACAGCTGGATGACCTTGCTAATAAGCAGTGACTCTTTGGTGGGGACACATATTAGCCAGCTGGTAATCCAGTGAAATGCTCCTGCTCGAGGAGTGTTACAGTGTGTGCATTGTAATCACTCTTCTAGCTGAGTAAGAGACAGTTGAACAGCCATTTCAAAGCTGCATGAAACAAAGAGCCTTCCAAATTAACAGACCCTCAGGAGATGCATTCAAAGTCCTAGGTCAGAGCATATTCAGTGACAGCTGGGCATATATCCATTTTAGAGACTTTAATATCACTGGATGAGAAAAGAAACTGGAGGCAATAACAGGTGTGACAAGAGGAATCTTCCCTGAGCTGAATGCGAGGTTGCTGCATTCAGCGCATTACAGAGGTGGTAATCTTCAGTATCAAGACATGAATAGGATGCAGAGAAGAATGTGTTTCCTGATAGACACTTTCCTGCCCACTGTCAGGAAACAGAAAGAAGAAGCCCCTTGCTGCAATTCTCAGCTACCAAGCAACCAGATGTGACGAATCTGGGTTTGGATGTAGCATTTGTCCGTGATACCATAAGGGCAATCCCTGGATGGACTGCACCACGACTCAGCGATTGGATGGACATTTCTACTAGGTGTGTTATCCAAAACTAGCCGAGCATGTGTATAAAAGGAAAGGAAGCATCTGCTTGTTTCAGACTTTGAGTTTATGCCAGCAGTACTTGCAAGAGCAATGAAATGGGGACTTGTATCTTACTTCACGTAACAAACTTCTCAAGGAACCATAGGGAACAGGGCTGGAAGGGATTTCAAAAAATGATCTGGCCCCTTCCTCCATGGACAATATCCGCCCCAGTCCTGTAAGAATCTTCACAATTGGATTTTGCTATTCTTTCTGATACCTGTATAGCACGTTTAACAAATGTTTGGCCATAGAAATCAAACACTTTTAATTTTCATGTCCGTGTCTTTCTAAGCACTGAACAGTCCAACCGAAGTCCATCCAGACTTCTGCCTTCCCTTATAGAATCAATGCAGGGAAAAGCATCAGGGATTGATCTTCTGCAACCTCAGCAGCAATCAGCAGATTCTGGGTAAAACCTGTCATGCGAACCACATTTAGAACACATGGTTTTAATGCTGTGAACCATAATCTACCATTGTGGTATTTCTACAGACATTTCCATGATAACTCTATTTCCAAGGATTGCACAGAGTTCTAGACTGACAAAGCTCCTCTTTGTTAATAAGTACATGTAAACACCACGGCCATGGGGGTTTCTTCATGCATTTCTAAAAATCTAACTGTTGCCTGAAAAGCGGATTCTTTACCCAGTGTGCAATAAGCCAAGTCTCACACACTCAGGAGAGGTATTGTTTTATTCAGGCCTGGGTGCTCAGTGGATTTTCCACAGATCAAGCACACCCAAGGCCGGCTTCTTCATTACATTTGTACATTAAATTAATGCATATTCTACCTATCTAATACATATTCATTCCAATCTACATGAGTTGTGTAAAGATGTGTCATCATTCTTCTTAGCTCCTTTTCAGAACCTTCTGTGCATCTCTTCCTCCTTTTGGGGCTCTCTAGTGGTCCTCGGTGGTCTTCTTGGAGATGAAGTACCCTAACTCCTTTTGTCCATATATGGTCACATCACCTAAGGACAACTTAAGGCTACTTTCTTCTGCCAACTTTCCTTTGTTCCTTCAAGAAGGAGCATTTGCCTTTGATTAAACAGATAGTGTGGATGGCCAAGATATTCTGTTTCTAAGCTTAGGTTAAACGTCATTTCTGGTCATGCACTACTTGATCAAAAGGAAGGCTACCTGAACGCAAACCACAACCCTTCTTCCCAAGGGAAGAACTTGTTCTATTACATAACTAGTTCTGCAGCCTTTGTCCATCCTGAGTCATATTTGTGAATCATGCCTTTCCGCTGAAGGTGGCAAAGTTCTGTCTCACTGTTAGGGAAAGGATGAAGCCTTCACCAATGACTGACTGGGAAATCCATGGGTAGCTTAGAGGTTTCTTTCAATTTTGAAGTCACCACAAGCAACTTGTAATTTGCAAGTGTGAGTTAACTGAAACAGAGACTTGCAAAAGAAGACAAGGATGCCTGGACAGACTAGAGCTCTGATGGGTACCATTGCAACCCCTTTCTATCACTTCCAAAAAAAAATTAAATGAATATGATGTCAGGAGGAAAAACTAAGGAAAAGGAATAAGAAATAATTTTCAAGTGAAAAAATATATTTGTCATCACAGTCAACAGAGGCGTACAGCTGTGTAAGCTGTATAATTAGTGCACCAAGGCTATACATATTACCAGCATCAATATCCCAATTCCTATG